CCAAAAAAAAAAACAAAAAGAAAAACTCGGTGCCCCAGAAGCAGGAGGCAAGCCAGCGAGATCAGACCGATCTCCAGGACCAGCCAGCGCTCTGGGCGGCTGCAGGGGATGTGTTCACACGATCAGAGAGATGCCTGGCCTGTCCTTACCGGGCCCTCTGGTCTCTAGCAGGGTTGCCCTTTTCCTTCTCACTTTTTCTGGTGCTGTGGATGGTGTCCAGGGCTCCAATGTCTTAAGCACAATGTGCTCTACCCCCCCGAGCACCACCCCGGGCCCACCACCTGCCAACAGCCACTCTGCACTGGACGTTCTGTGCCGTCCTGTGGTGTGGCGTGGTTGTCTACCTTCCAGTCAGCACACAACGGCTGTGCATGCGGTGCGCCGGCCCCGGCTGTCCACTGGACACACATGGAAATGAGATCCAAGCTGGGCATGGTGGCACATGCCTGTAATCCCAGCACTTGGGAAGCTGAGGCAATCCTGTTGCGAGTTTGAGACCAGCCTGGGCTGTAAAGTGAGCGCAAGTCCAGCCTGAACTGCATAGCAAGACCTTGTCTCAAAAAGGAAAAAAAAAAAAGGAAATGAAGTCCAAGCCCAGTGTCCTGGTTGCTTTATGTGTCCTGGATGTTTTTACTATCATGAAAATTTTTTTTAACTAAAATACATTGGATGAAAATGCAATTTAAAGGGCAGGGATAAAATACAAATTTACCGTAGCGCTAATGAAACTGAACATTATCACCACTTTGGTTGAGTGTGCTTGTTCCTTTTTCTTTAGCGCTTACATGGCTCTGTATTTCTTATCTGAAATGCTTGGGACCGCAAGTGCTTCTGAGTCTGGGTTTGGGATATTCCATACACACCTGGTGGTGTCTTGGGGGTGGGGCCCACATCTAAGCACACGTTCATTCACCTTTCCCGTAAGACTCACTCATCTTTCACGTGTGCCTCCTCCCTGGAGCCTCATGGTGACTTCCTACAACATTTCCCACGTGACTGCTGTTCACGTCAACCCAGCCCCCGAGGCCAGGGGTCGAATATTCCTCGTGCAGTCAGCGCTCAAGGTGTTTTAGGTCCTGGATCACTTTGGGCTTCGGATTTCCACCCTGAGGATGTTCAACCTGTATTTGTATGTTTTTGCTTGGGCCGCTTTTATTGAGTGGTGTGATGAGTTATAGATTAGCTTGTGACTCAGGTTAGTGTTACATTTTAGTGATTTGTCCGTGTTGATTCATGCCGGTGCTGTGTTCCAGTCTGCCTTACCGCTGCCTGGCTCCCCTGGTGTAACTACGTCCCTATTTATTTATCTATTCATTGCTGATGGCACCTGGGTGGACGCTGGCGTGCGAGAGGGAGCACCCCATGGACAGCCGCGGGTGCAGGGCTTTTAGGGTAAATCTCCCGGTGATGTGTGTGAATTTATCAATGCACAAGTTCTGCTCGAAAATTTGAGTGTTTTCCAGAGAACCTAGGCAGGTTTTATTTCCATTCTTTTCCCAACTTCTCTGTCTGATACAGACCAACTTCAACATTTTTACCACTCTGATGGTGTCATGGTTGATACATTGTGTCAGCTTGAGAAGTTTAGAAGCTTAACTAAGGGACTCAGCAGGGGTCAGGTCCTCACTTTGTAAACCTCCTCATCCTGTGCAAGAGGAGGGCCTGAAGATGGTGTGAGTGCCACACCCACCCTGGGGAGGGAGCCTGCTTACAATATAAGCTAGGAAAGGAGGCTTGCTCCTCCCCACTTTTGCTCTTGCTGCTTTTGCTGTCTTCTGCCACCTTGAACTGTGGGCCCTGTGTCCTGCCATCCTGCCTCGGAGCCAACTGATTACAGACTGAAACCTCCACAGACTGTGAGCTAAATAAATCTTTCCTCCCTTAATTTGGGGCATCAGTATTTTGTCTCATCAAGGAGAGAAAAGTAACCAACACAGATGGGATTTTATGTGGATGTTACTTTGTATTTATTGCAAACACTTCCGGGCACCTTTACGTTTACTTATGGGTCACTTATACTTGCTCTCCTGTGAAGTGAGTGTCTCACCCTTTGAGCATTTTTCTTTTGGGTTATCTCAGCTCTTTCAGGGTTTCCTTTTGGGTACTGACTTGGAGCAGCTTTCTGAGAGCTCGTTCTGTGTAAGTTATGAGGTGTCCTAAGTATACGCCCACTTGGATGTTTATCTTTTTGTTATTTTCAGAGCACTTTCTTGATGAACAGAAGTTCTGATATTTTAAAACTTTTTATTTTAAAATAACACCAGCCTTAAGGAAAGGTTACAAAAATAGTACAAAGAGTTTCTCTTACCCCTGATTTTCTAAATGTGAACATTCTACTACATTTGTCCTATTGCTCCATTTATCCTTTTTATTTTTATTTTTTTGCTATTGTAAATGATGTCTTTAAGACTTGCATACTAATATGTTGGTGGTGTTCACAGCGGCAGTTGACTTTTATATTGTTTTTTAGGACAGTTTTCACAAACTGTCAAGTTCTAAAATTTCTACAGATTGCTTAACATGTTTTCTAAGTGAGCAGTAAAGTCACCTGCAAGGAAGGTGGGTTGTTCTGTTTGCATTTGTTTTTTACTGTGCTTCTTCCATGCCTGAGTGCCAAATTGATGATTCTCGTCCACTCATCATCTTGCAGGAGGTGGTTTTTTTGTTGTTGTTTTGTTTTTCTCTGGTACCAGGAATCGAACTCACAACCTTGTGCTTGCCAGGCAGGCGCTGTGCAGCTGAGCTAAATCCCCAGCCCCAGGAGGTGTTTTCAATATTCCACCACGAATGACATGTTGTGAAAGATGTTTGCAGAGACTGTTTCCTCCGAGGCTGTCCACTGCCGGCTGTGCTTATGCGTGGGTATTTAATGAATCAACTATTTCTAGAATTGCAGAAAACCCAAGCAGACAGCCAGGGACCTCCGCCCCCTACACCTCCCCTCCGCCCAGTTTTCTATTGCTAACTTCTTGCACTTTTAACTTTTTAACGTTTGTGTTTTCTAGGATGCAGAGCTGGAATCACACAGTGGGCAGTGTTTTTAACTTGGCTTCTTTCCCTCAAAGATCCCGCAGGGTCTTCCTGCAGGCTCCATTGCGCTTTCTTTCTGCTGGGAGCGGCTGAAGCTGGAAAGTAGTTACGTGTGCAGGATGAAGCAAGAACACGGGGGCTCCTTGAAGCACGTAAACAAGCCGTCGTAGCTTGTTAACTGATTGCTGGGCAGCGGGGCTGAAATTAACTTCTTGAAGGTATAAAATAAAGGCTGTACTATTCTTGGGCAGTTCCCCTTCTCCGCTCAGGAGAGAGAGGACCTTCACCTGACCCCAGCTTTTTGTCTCTTATCTATTTTTTCCTCATTTTTGCCCTCTCACCGCTGTTCCTTCCTGGGGTACAGCAAGAGCCCAACGGATCACTACATCTTTAATCACTGAGTAACATTCCGTGCATGAAAGTACTGCCATTTGTTCTCCTTTCCCCTGCTGAAGGGCATCCTGCCAGCTCCGCGTTCTGATCATTGTGAGGAAAGCTGCATGCCGTGTGCATCTGCAGGTGTCTGTCTCTTCATCTTTAAGTTTCAGGTGCCAGGTATTGTTCCCACCAACAAGAACGCAACTGAAGCAGATTTTGGTACCAGGAGTAGGGCCGCTGTGGGGAATATACTTGACCATGATTTATATACTCGACAGGACTTAGCGTTTGCCCTGCTGGGATTCAGTCTTGCGTTGGTCCAATTTAGAGCTGGCCTGTAGTGGGAGTTTGGGAAGGTTTGGAGAAGCCCAAGAATGCTATCAGCCAAGCTTGGTGGGAGATTCTCACTGGAGATCAGAATGCTGATAAAAGTGCACAAGCCAGGTTCAGGAGGTTTCAGTTGGGAACAAGGACTCTGTTGATAATTGAACTCTAGGCCATGTGTGTCATGCCCTGGCAGAAAAATTGTCTACATGTTCATGTCCTGAGACTTTGCAGGAGACTGAGCTAAAGGATAGCAAATGAATTAAGCTGGTAGAGGAAATTTCAAGCTAGCCCAGAGCTGAGGCTGTGGCATGGGTACTACTGGTAGCTTTTAGCTGGCTTTGTACTGAAAATCTGGAACAAAAGGCCCTTTTGAAAAGTGTTCAGTTTCCTCAGAAAGGAAAGGCTTGTAAAGTTGGGACCTGTAAAATTCTGGCTGAGGAAACCTTGGTTGCTGAAAAAATTAGTGTTAAAAAGAAGCCAATAGGAAAGATTCCTTGGGGAAATCACAGAAATCTGCAAGACCCCACCCTTCACAGGCTCAAGATCCAAAAGTATAAGACTTTCTTTGAGGAGAGACCTCCAGGAGGGCCAGCTAGGGAAGGGGCTTGCTGGGATTCTTTTCACAATGCTTAGCCATCAAAACACTGAGACTGCTACAACCATTATTCAAGGGGGCCTGGATACTGCTTGAGCTTGTGTAAGACTTTGGCATTGTCCATATGGTCCTGGTTTTTCAGGCACGTAGAATGCGAGCATTGTGGTGTCAAGGAAGCTTCCACCCAGATTTTAGGAGAAGGCCCAGGAGGCTAGACAGAGTGTACTTTAGAGGGCAGTGTGTGAAGGTATAGAATGAGGTTGAAAGTGCAACGGAGATGCCAGGAATTTGGCGAAGCCAGGAATGTGGATTGTCATCTGAGGAAAGCTGCAGATAGTGAGCAGAGCTACATCAAGAGAGAGACCATGAGTGCTGCAATCAGTAATGTCGCAGGGAATCGGTCACCCAACACAGTTGAAGTTCACTTCTTTGCCTCAGGTGCCAGACATGGAGCCATACAGTTTAATGTTTGCCCTCCTGGATTTTGGTCTTCCTTTGGTCCCATTCATGTCTATCCTCCTATTTCTCCCTTTTGGAATGGAAGTATTTATCCTGTGCCATTGGGTGTTGGCAATGTTTAACTTTCTTTTTGATTTGTACAGGGGATCACAGCTAAGCATTTGTTTTGAGCCTCAAAGGAGACTTTGGACTTGGACTTCTCAGCAACTTTGGAACTGTCAGTGCTTAGACAACTCTTGGAGGTGGACTAAATGCACTGTGCATAGAGACGGACATGGATTCTCTGCGGGCCAGCACGGCGTGTTGTGGTTTGGATCTGGAACGCCCCCCAAAAGCCTGGTGTGCTCGTAGGCAGGGCATGTGGAAGGTAACTGAAGCATGGTGGGGCTATCTGCAACCTGCTGTTGGGAGGTGGGGTCTGGATGGAGGAGGCAGTCACCAGGGGCGTGGCCTAGAAGGGTGCATCTCCCCCCAGCTCCTCTCTTCTCTCTCTGCTTCCTGTCCACTCCTAGCAGCTCTCCTCCACCCAGGCCCTTCCACCATGCCAGTTCTGTGTTTAAGCCTCCCAAACATGGATGGAAACTTCTGAAACTCAGTCTCCCAGTAAACCTGTCTTCCTTTAAGCTTCAGGTGTTCGGTACTGTGTCCCAGTGACAAAAAAGTGGCTAAGACAGCAGTCAGATGGAGGTACTCAGAAAAGCTTTGGTTTTACCAAATGGAACAAGAAGAGAGAGGCCTTCTAGTCCTTCATCCAGGGACCCATTTCTGAATTCAGCTGATTCTTTAGTGTATGTACAGCAGTTCTGAAGGTCCTTGGGTGTTCTGGGGCTGAGGCAGAGCCATCATATTCTCCTCCCCTTTCCTCTCCCTTGGCTGAGCCCACCACAGTAGAGGCAAAAATTCCAACTCAGCTTCCCAGGCTCTTCTGTGTCTGGGAGCAGACAGGGAACCCTGCTGTGGTTGGTGAGATGTGAGAGGCGGTCCTTGTTTTCTATCTGGAACTATTACTGTGACTATGAGAATATATATGTATATATTCTAAGGATGGCAGGGTGGGTGGATGGGTGAAGCCTGGGTTCTTGTGGCATCATCAGAGATAGGATGGTTTGTTCATGGCATTGTTTGTTGAGTATTTAAGTTGAGTGCTGCAAAGTTGAGTCTCTGAAAGCATTGAAGTTGTAGAGAAGAAAATCCAAACAGGGGTAAGTGCTGAGTCACAGTATTGTGGGCAGGGAAGGACAGGGAAAGGGCTGCAAGCCCAAGGTCAAAATCAGAGGGCCACAGCAGGGACACGGGCACTGGCAATGTCAATGAAGAACAAATTTGTTGTAGGCAATGAAGAGTTTTTCTGAAGAGACTATGGCAATATGGGAAGGCATATTATTTTACTGCCATGGGAATGTTTTGACTGGGGTGCCCAAACCTGGCTCAATGCTTAGGTTTAAATAAAAGGAAATTGCCTTTGTAAAAAAGAGAAATGAAGGCTGGGTCGAACCCATTCGTATGAGGGGCCGGGACGAGTGGCTGGTGTCGTGGGACAGTGGGTAAGGGAGTGTTTCTCTCTGAGGCCACCCATTTGCAGAAAGGGTCCTTAGGAGAGAGTTCCTTTGCTCCAGGGCTCAGGGACCTGGACATAGAAGAGAAGCATGACTCACATCGGGTCAAGTCAAGCTGGCAGCGTCCTGTTCAGATTGTTCCCTGGGGACAATGGTTCTGCCAGTCATTTGAGACAAAGCCCAAGAATGTGGGTGGGGTGTGCCTGGTCTTGCCCCAGGTTGACAAGGGCTGGTCTGTGAGTCTTCCCTCGGTTGCCTGGGGTAGGGTAGTTATTTATAGGGCCATTTTCCTGAGAAGGGTGGGTGGGTGCAGACTTCCTCTGTCCCTCTTTTCCAGGATCAACATCATCAAGGAAGAAGCCAAAAAAGGGGAAATTAGACCCAAGGCAGAGCGAGAGTGGCCCCTGACTCCATCTGCTGCACCCCGCAAACCAGGTCTGTGTTAGCGGACACAAGGGCACACAGATGCCTTAGATGTGACAGTGCAGAGAACACAGCGGTGAGGAGAGAGGGCCAACCCAAAATCTCCACACGCACTCCTGACCCCTGTGCTCTGCCCGCACACGCCCGTGCACACTCGGGTTCTGTTTTCTTTGGGAACCATCTGAGCTCTATGAACTCGCTGCCCTGGAGCTGACCCACAGGCTCTGGGTGCGTTCGCAAAACCAACAGCATTAAGCAGAAAAGGAGGTGTCCTAGGACTCAAGTCTTGGGTCTCAGGGTATTTAAGGGCATTAGGCCACGCAGAATCTGGAGTTTGTTGTCTTCCTCTAAAGAACATCTGCAGACTGTCACCCAGGTCCTTCTATTTTGGCATAGACGGGCATAAAGATTCTTAGCATGTGGGCAGAAAATCAGGTGCCTGGAGAGACGCCAGCTCTCACCCAGGTCACACATAGTCACGGCCAAGACTCAAAAAACTGTGCTTGCTCTTGCTCCGGTTTCTGCTTCACGGGTCCATTTCCAATCCCTGACTCATGGCCTTCATGCTGTTGGGTGGAGGCAGAGTCGGGCAGGAGGCGGGTCTAACAGGTACTCGCTGGGAGAGGTGGGTGATCCACACCGTTCCGTTTATACCTCCACTTGGTCCACACACCTGCAGTTAAAACACCAAGTCCCCTGCTTGGCTGTGATCACCTGAGGGTATTGTACTCATGGTCCCGACTTGAAGATGGCACCGCGTGTCCAAGAACATGGGCTTTCTGAAGGACACAAGACACGCTCAGAGCACCTCATTTCTCAAAGTTATCACCAGAGTCTGCATAAATAGTTCAGACTTTGGCATCTGACCTTTAAGGGTCAGTCTTCTCCCAGCGCTGGAGTCTCCCGTGGATTGTGTCACTGCCTTTGGAGCCCACACAGAGCTTGTTTCCTCTTCCTCTAACTCCAGCACCTCACGCAGCGTAGCAGAGACTGCTGTCCCTCAGTATGCATCCCCCTCTTCTCCCTTCTAGAGAACCTCACATTTTTGCAAGGATTTAACTGCTCAGATAAAAAAAAATAACCTGCACTGTTCCGCCTCCGTTGTAGACAGCAGGGCTACAAGACTCATTCTTGCAGGCGGTACACAAATGGAAACAATACATGCACTCTCTCAGGGTGCAGTTAAGAAGAAGCAGACCCTGCCCTTCCTCCACTTCCTCCTCCTATTTAGCGCAAGGATGTGAAGGCAGGAATTGAGCAGCCATTCTGGGATGTGAGACAGGGACAGCAACCCATGTTCTGAGCAGAGGAACAGAACAGAAGGAAGCCGGGCCGTTGCTGTTACTGATAAGTGACCTGTGCTCCCTTCCTAAATTTTAAGTAAGAGAGAAATTAATTTCAGTTTAAAGTGACGGGCTGGAGAGCAGCAGAGAAGCTCACCCATCTGTGCCTCCTGGTCGCAGGTCCTAGTCAGCTAAGACCCTGGAGGAAAGAGAGTGTCACTGGTGGCCGGCACTAGCCACGGCAAGGGGGGATGCAGAGGGCAGGGTCTGAGTCAGACAGACCCGGCTGGGCGGCGTGGGAAACCCTCAGCACTTCCATCACCTTCTTTGGTTGTGACCTGGGTGCACTGCCTCGTGCCTGACCGCGTGGAGACCCCAGGAAAGAGGAGCACATGGTGCACGGAAGGTGCGAGGCCTGGGTTTGAGCCTTGTCTGCCCCAGCTTGCTGGGCTGCCCTGGGCAAGTTGCTGCACATTTCTGAGGACTTTAGATTGTCCGCGGGGTCTCCTCCTCCTCAGGCCTCTGTGGTCCTGGCCGTGGTGATGTGAAGAGCAAACTCGGCATTGAGGCGACTGAGCCTGCGTCAGTGGTGCTCATGACAGCAGCTGGGGACCAGGGTGGCGCATTTGCTCCCCAGAAGTCCGCACGCCCCAGGAATCAGGGCGCCCACCCAGCCCTGCAGAATGCAGCCTCTCCCAGTGAAGAGAGAGAAAGGAAACGGTTGCCTTTCTTTGTGCTCATGCGTGTAAACAGAACCAGTTGCGCTGGAGACGAGAACACCCGGGCCTGCGTCCCAGGGTACTGGCCCAGGAGGAGGAGGAGGATTTAGAAGTTACCTGACTCCCGGGTCCCTTGTGCCCAGTCCAGCCTGAGCCACGCAGGTGGGTCCCTTGGGTGCGAAGGTGTTAATAACGCTCCCTGGGGGACCAACTTTCCCAGGGTTGTGCTGCTGTTGCCTCGCTGTGCGTTTTGTAATTTAATTAAAGCAGGAGGCTGGGATAATGGGCCAGAGGTGCCTGCAGCGCCAGCCCAGGGAAATGTGGGCCCCTGGGCCCTGGGGAAGGGGCCTGAGGAGGCACTGGAGACCTGGGCTCCGAGGTTAATTACTCCAGCGATTCCAAACGAGGCAGCTACCGGGTCCCGACTCGCCCGGCCTGGGGGACCTGGGCTTGGAGCAGGCTTGGTGTTGTGGACCCAGGGGCTCCCACTCGTCCTCCTGCCATCAAGAGTCTCCCCCAAAGTGAGTTTGCAGGAACACAGTCCCCAGGTTGGCCGCCAGCACCCCTCCCCGACCCGGGAGGAGCTTGTGGAAGTTGGGGAGCTCCACAGCCTCTGTGGCAGCACCCCTGGGGGTCAGCAGGTGGCCCCTCCTGTGCAGTTTGCTGGTCAGGGTCGCGTTTCCAGTCAGGGAGTGCACCCCACGGCCAAGGGGACTTGCCCGGCCCGGTCGGCCTGCCCCGCGGGCCCAGCCCCGGGCGCGTGTGTCCCGGCGGTGTGCAGCTGCTGTGAGTCCCACTGCTTTCTGTTTTTCACATTTTTTCCCGAGCCCACGTTTGCTGTCCGCAGTGACTGGCTCCTCGCGGGGAGCTGGTGCCCGCATCGCGCATCTCAGTTCCTTCCCCTCCTCCATCTCTCCTCCCCCTCCCCTTGCAAAAGCTCTGTCTCCTTCTTCCTGTCCGTGGCCTTTTACTTTGCTCCTTATTTATATTTTGGGTTTCTCGTGGAAGAGGAACCGCGTGGTGTTTAAGCCTGTGTGTCTGGTTTATCTCACCCAACGTTACGGTGTCGAGGGCACCCACCTCCTGCCCATGGCTCCACGCGTCCTTCCTCACGGCGCGGCGGGCTCCACGGTGTGTAAGGCCGCATTCTCTTCACCCACGCCTCTGTTGGTCCCAGTCCTTGTGTTACTGTGCGGTGACCCTCTAGCAAGCAACATGCAGTGACAGCTTGCCGCCTGCTGTCCCTTCTCTGAATGGAGTGGCTCCTCCCCAGAGGCCTCCTCCCTCCCTGGTTCCCGGCCTCGGGCTGGCCAGGGGCTGCTGTGTCCAGCTGCTGTGGAAAGGCCTCATTCCAGCTGGGCCTTGGAGCCTATGCCTCAGGCTCCTCCGCTCCTCGGCGCCACCGTGGAGCCTCCAGAGTCCGAAGGCCTTCTGTCCAAGGCCAGCCCCCCACCGGGGCAGGGGGCCCTCTCAGGAGGGGTCAGTGAGAGCCAGCAGATGCCTCAGCAGGAGAAGCAAGCTCACTCCCAGCTTCCTTGTGTCTCCCAGACTCAACACTGCGAGGGCATGGCGGGTGCCTGGGGAGACTGTGAGGCTATTTGGTGTCCCCGCGGCACCTCAGCTGCGCAGACACCTGCTGCTGCGTCCTTAGCACAGAGATGGGAAAGAAGGTGCTCTGAAAGTCGAAACTTATGCTAGAGTGTTAATGACTGACATCACCACCACACTTGTAGGAGGGGTCCCCAAATTGGAGCACTGTGAGTGTTTGGATGTGCTTGCCAAGGGAAGAGTTTTATCAAGAGAAGAGGAAGATTTGGAAGTGGGGAGCCTTCATGGGTGCTTTGCTTATGCCTAAGGCTGGCTCTGTTTCCGGACTAAAAGGAGAGAAAGGACAGATCCAGGGTGACCAGGCAGAGTTGAAGTGCTCTGGGGTCTGGGCCGGAGGCTGCAGCGCACAGCACTGACCCTGGAGGGACAGGGCCCTGTGCCCCGGGCCGCCTTCCTCCCTCCCTTTCTCCCTTCTTTCTCAGCCCACTGCAGACAGCAGCATTCCCAGCATCCCTGCACGCTGCCTGGCCCTGGACACTGGCCGGCCCTGGACACCGGCCGGCCCTGCTCCAGGGAAGGCACGCCTGGGGGTGAGGCATCGTCCACAGTGGGTGGCAGCGCGCCAGGGCTCCCAGAATGGGTGTTGCCGCCCTTGTGCATGGGGCTGGTGGCCCCTTCCGGGTGGCCGGGGCCTGGCTGTCTTCTTCCTTCGAGAGCCAAGAGGCCAGGTGAGGGTGGCCAGCGTGACTGTCCCTGGGGTCACTGCTCCCTCCTGGACAAACTTTTCTTGCCTGGTCTGAGGGGGACTGACAGCGGGCCTGGCTGATTTCCAGGAATCACCTGACAGCCCCTCCCACAGCCTGGAGGGCAGGACACAAAGATTTCCGGCCAGGGAGGCCAGACAGGCCCTGCAGAGGCCTCCCCTGCGCCCAAGAAAAGTAGGAAGTGACACAGCGCCACCTTCCGGCCGCCGGCTGCTGCAGGTCATGGGGGCGCAGGAGGCCACAGGGATTTCCAGGGGCAGCCGTCCCCACCGGCTCTGGGCAGCTGTGTGGGGCAAGCAGAGTGCCGAGGGTGGCCACAGAGCCAGTTTGCCAGGGTTGGAACCCGAGCTTAGTCAGAGGAGCTGTGCATCCCCAAGCAGGCGGCACAACCTCTCTGGTCTTCTCTCCTCTCCCGTAGAATAGAGGTCATGCGCTCAGAGCACCCTGCAGGAAATGAGGGGGTCAGAGGATCCTGGAGAGGTGCCCAGCGAGTATCAGCCGCTGTTCCACTGCTGCAGCACAGCCCGGAGGGCCCCGTGGGTCCAGGGATGGCGTTGGTTCTGTACGAGGAAGCCAGGAGGGCTTGTGTGCTTGGGTGACACGGGTGCTCAAAGCACAGCCTGAGGGCGCACCTGCCTCTGCGGGGTCCAGGCTCTCTCAGATGTCGGCGAGCTCCCTGCCTTTGTCCACACTGTGTCTGGGACGCTTGGGGCGGCAGCGGCCTCTCCTTCCACGACCCGAGCTGTGGGCAGGTGGGGCAGCTCCATCCTGTGCGCAGACCCTGGAGCCTCATCGGTCCCGACAGAGCCTTCTAGGGAGGGGAGGGGAGGATGAGGGCTGCCAAGGTCAGAGCTGGCTTCTCCAGGTCAGCCGTAGATCTCAGCCTCTGCGGTGGTCCCCCGGGTCTCTGCGGCACACGTCCTCCCCGGGGCCCGGCGGCAGGGCATGCGCGGGGCTGTTGCATCTGTTGTGCTGCAGTTCAGTGAGGCCTCACGTAGCGACAGACGCCTGCCCCCAGCACGTGGCGCAGCACAGGCCCGCAGTCCTGGGGCCGCAGAAACTTCTCTGCAGCTTAGTCCTCCAGCAGTGTCACTCTTAGACTGCAGCCGTCGGCATGCTCACAGCGTGGCTTTGGCCACGGGCACGGCCATGTGTCAGCCAGGTTCCGGGAGACGAGGCAGGAGCGGGTTGGGGAGCCCCAGGTCCCCCAGACTTGGCCTCTGGCTCTTCCAGAGGCAGGGACAGCAGAGAAACTCCAGATCAGGAGAGGCCAGGCTGTGTCTCCCGGGCTTGGGCCCTCCCGACTTGTCTTGTTAGCCAGTCCCTCTGCCTCAAACCTCCAGAGTCAAAGAAACAGCCCTGAGGGATGGGGAGGCACTGCAGGCGTCAGGCCTGGTAAACAGCTGCTGGCGGGGCAGCCAGATATCCCAGGCTGGGAATCGGCTCTCGGTACGAGCGTCGGATGCCATGGGCATCTGGCAACCCACAGAGCAGCCGTGTTTCCAGTTCACAGGGACGAATAAGTAACACAAGGCCACATCCAGCTTCCTGTGGAGCCGTGGACACCCTGCCTGTGTCCATCAGATTCACCGTCAGACAGAACGAGTCCCCTCGCACTGTTGACCTCGACCTCCTCATCTGGCAAAGGTACGAGCAAAGCTGGTGGGGCAATCCAGGGACAGCTGGGGTCGTATGTCCCACAAGCAGTCAGTGAACAAAAGTTTAAGAACACTGTCTCAGAGACTGCCCCCTTGAGAAAAGCCTGGCAACTCAAGTTGGTATTTTCCACTTTTGTCTTTGTAGGATTGTAAGACTGCCTCTTCCTGAGGGTGGCGGCAGAGGGGATGACACGACTCCACTACGGCGGGAGGCCCTGGCGCCTGCAGCTTAAGACGGAGAACTGCGTCCAACTGTCTGATCTCTGACAAAGGGGCCAACACACCCTGGAGAAAGGCAGCCTCTAGCACATGCTGCTGGGAACTGGCTATCCCCCCCGCAGAGGACAGAGCCTGGACTCATCCACCAGGCACCGAACCAAAATCAAAATGGATTGAAGAACTAAGTGTTAAAACAAAAACACCTAAGCACTGGAAGACAAGATAGGCAACACTCTGGAAGTCACCAGTGTAGGCACGGACTTTCTGAACAGAACCCTGGATGCACAGGAAATAGTTTCAACAATCAACAGATGGGATCATAGCAAATCAAATAGCCTCTGCACAGCAAAAGAAAACTTTCTGCACAATCAATAGAGTCAAAAAGAAAACCTGCATAATGGGAAAGTTTTGCTGGCTATTCCTCTGGTAGAGGAATATGTAATATCTAGAATAGATGAAAAATCTAAACAATCAGACCATCCCCAAAATAAGACTCAGTCAAAACATAGGTGAATGAAATGAACAGACATTTAATGAGGAAGTACAAATGGCCCAAAAATACATTAAAAAGTTAAACATTGCTGGCTACTAGAAAAAAGCAAATAAGCCAATTAAAACAACACGGAGCTTCCAGCTTACTCTAGAAAGAATGGCCATCATCAAGAAATCAAATAATGACAAATGCTGGTAGGGCTGAGGGGGAAAAGGAACAATCTTACATTGTTGGTGGAATGTAAAGTAGTACAAACACGGTGGAAATCAGTATTCCTCAAAATTTAAAAATAGAAATTCCATTTGACCTAGCTATTCCCCTTCTAAGTATCTTCCTAAAATAGTTAAAGACATCATATTACAGAGATACATACACACTCATGTCTATAGCACCACAATTCAGAATGGCCAGATCTTAGAAGCAGCCTGTATGTCCATCAACAAATGAATAGTTAAAGAAAATGTGATACATATAATCTTACTTTTTCTTGTTACTGGGACAAAATACCTGACACCTAAAGTTAGAGGAGGAAAGGTTTTTTTAGCTCACAGTTCATAGAGATTTTGGTTCGTAATCAGCTGGCCCCAAGGCAGGGTGGATTGCAGAGGAGAAACTGTTCATGGAGGGCAGAAGGCAGCAAAGTAATGAAGAAGCAAAACAGCAAGCAGCAGCTGACCAGCAACCCCAACAGTCCTCTCTCTGTCCCTTATATTCTGTCCAGGCTACCCTTAGGGTGGGTAGTTCTTATCCAGGGAGGGCCTTGTCAATATCCACTCCCAGAACTATGCCAAACCAATCAGTGGGCTAATTTAGTAATCACACGCCCTTGGTCCCAGCATCACACGCCATAGGTCCAGCCACCTCTGAAAGCCCCGTCTATGACTGCGTGAGGCTTGATGGGACTTCTAGATACAAATATGTACATATATCTATATATATAGGTATATATATATATATATATCTGCCATAAAGAAAGATACACTTGAGTCATGTGTAGGATAACTGATGCACCTTGAGACCATAATGTTAAGTGAAACAAATCACACACAAGCTTAGATATCACGTGGTTGCTCATATATGAGAAAACTAAGGCATAAATAAAGAGCAAAATAAAAGATGATAGGTAGTGGGAGATAGATGATCCTCAAAGGGGAAGGGGATCAAGAGATAGAGGAAGAGGGGGAGTGAAAGGATGAACAAAGGAACTGGGATGTGTTCTGTGGTTGTTCCAGCTCCACGGGAGGAATGTAAACGTTGTGTACTGTAAACATGTACTGAGAAAACAAAAAGAAGGGGATCAGGCAATGGGGGGGAGATGAGCAAAGGGGTTAAAATATATTCTGTACATGCGCCAACGTCCACAAGGATATAAACGTTACGTACCACACACATGCACTAAAACTAAAATAATAAAAAAGAATCAACGAAAAGAATTGTGTGCTAAACCGGTGTGGTGGTGCACACCAGTCCTCCCAACACCCTGGGAGGCTGAGGCAGGAGGATGGCAAATTCGAACCCAGCCTGAGTGACTTAGCAAGAACCCTGTCTCTAAGTCAAAAGTAATACAAAAGGGCTGGGGTGCAGTGTCATGTGAGGGCTTCAGACTCAGTGCCCAGTGCCTCAAAGTGAAGAAACGATAGAAAGAGCTATGTGCTAGGGTTAGGCTCCGCCACTGTGCGTGGGTGTGAGCACCCTTGGCCAGTGGCAGGCGGCTTCCCAGCACACTCGGGCCAGTGCAGCCAGTGCTGTGCAAATGAGAGGTTCAAGCCCCGAGTCTGGCTCCAGCCAGCGTCACTAGCCTCGGGGGATGAGGCAGGAATGTCAGCTCTTCTACCTTGCCCACTTGCTGAGGAGGTCGATGTGACTGCACAGGTAGAAGCCTGAGGCATGTGCTGACCGCGAAGTAAATCAGGCAAAAGAGAAAGTGACAACGGCTGTGCCTGTCTGGAGCCCCAGCTGGGAGCTGGCCCTTTCCGCTCCTTCTCAGGGAGGTGATTTAGAAAGTAACATTGCTGTGGGGACGATCTTGAATTTGTTTTAAAATGTCCCAAGTGCGTGCTCAGGGGATTCGGTGGTCTCTGTCACAGCTTACCCTCGAGGACTTGGTGACTGGTGCTGACCACTCCTCCAAGAACAGAGGTGCTGCGCGTCTCTGGTTGCATGCAGTTGGCACTGGTTTCCGGTGGGCACTGAAACAAACAGCCCCAAACACAGTGGCTTCAACCAGCCTGAATACATCAGCCTACAGTTCTGCTGGTCAAGCGGGCCAAGGTAGGGCTGGGCTGGGGTGGGCAGGGCTGTGCAGGGCTGTGCAGGGCTGTGCAGGGCTGTGCAGGGCTGGGCTGGGCTGGGCTGGGCAGGCTGGGCAGGCTGGGCAGGGCTGGGTTTCCTCTGGAGGCCCGGGGAGGGTCCTTCCCGCTCTGCGCCTCCCCTTGACCATGGCCACCTTCCATCTTCATGGCCAGTGATGGTGGCTGAGTCTCACGGTGCCACCCCTGGTTCTGCCTCCTCCTCCTTCCCACCCATTTCAAGTCCTTTGTTTCCACTTCCCGCACAGCAGCAAGTACGGTCTCTGGTAACAAGGTGTAGACATCTTTGAGGGGCGTTATTTCAGCTACCACTCGGGATAACCTCGACCTTGCCAAAAGCGTTCGGAGTTCATTCACGTGTGCTGTTGCTCTCCGAGCGATCCGTCATGAGTACTGTGAGTATCTGCCTGCGACGCTGGCCAGCTGGCCCAGTGCCGTGCACAGGTCTGAGAGGACACAGAGGGCAAGCTGGTGGGTGTGAAGAGGAGGCTGTGTTAACATGTAAGGAACAATTCTTTTGTTAATGTCATGGCAGCAGATGATAGTTGGTCTCTTTTACTTTTTAATGTAGGTGACAGATGTCAGGGTTGGTGATCAGCGTGTGAAGCCCTCAGGCTTTGGGGAGGGAGGGGCCTTTACCAGTCTTTGTAACTCCAAGAGCAGGAGCTGGTCTCACCCTCAGGAGCTGGGCTCAGCCTTCACGTCCCATGCAGCCTGTCTGACCCTGCCCGAATTTCCCACTCTGAGAGCGCAGAGCCCAAGGACTGGAGTGCGAGTGCCTCCTCACAAAGGGGACGTCACTCCTGGGTTTTCCCAGCCATGAATCGGTGTGACAGGAAATCCACCCCGACCTCTTCACAGGACAGGAAAGGAACTGAAGATGAGAGTGCTGCACAGGGTGAGGGGTGCTGTTTTCATAAAGGAAACCTGGACACTCAGTTCCTGGATCTTCCCATATTTTTTTCTGAGTGGGCTGGAGAGAGTGAGCAGCCCCAGGGGGTACAATTAAGCAGTTAGGGAATAGTGACTGCAAAATGCTGTGTTTCTCCCTAAAAACAAAAACCTCTACTTTTTAAAATTAGAGTAAAATACACACAGAATACACTCACCATCTCAACCCTCTTAACTGTACCCTTTATTTTTTCTTCTCATCAGTGCCTATTCATGTTATAAAATATTGGGTTTCAATGCACATTTATTTTGATCCTACCCATTCCATTACCTGCCCTTCCCCTCCTGCTCCCCATATCCCTCCTCCTGTCTGATGAAAGTCTGTCTTCTCCTTCCTTGTCATCTTCAGGTTCCACGTCTTAAGAGTTCTTATCTAGATGTCTCCCAAAACCATGGGGCTTTGGAAGGTGCCTGATCTGCGGCTCAGGGCTGACTCAGGGAGAGAACTTGGGTCTAGTGGGAGTACCTTGCCTGTGGGCATGGCCTGGCAGGGTGACCCGCCCTCACTGGCTCCCCCCACCTCTCTCTGCTTCCCGGCCACCATGCTGGGAACAGCTCTCCACCAGAGGCTTTCACTAGCCCTTCCTGCCTTGGAGCTGGCTATGGACTTACACTGTGAACCACAAAGCACTTCTCCTTCTTTAACTCTTGGGCCTTGGATATTTTATCCCAGAAATGAGGAAAATGTCAAAGACACCACAAATTAGGGAGAGCATGTGACATTTGTCTTTCTGAGTCTGGCTTATTTCTCTCAACATGCTGGTCTCCAGATCCGTCATTCTGTGTTAAGGATTCTCACGCTATGATGCAAACAATCCCAGGACCTTTTCCTCATAGAGAATGGAAACTCTACACCCATTAGATAGCACTTTCAACCATCCCTAGACCTGGGTGCCTGTTTCTCTGATGTCTGTAGGTGCTTCCGCTGAGTGGGGGCCTGGGCTTTGTCTTCTTGTGACCACTTGCTTCACTTAATGTTCTCAAGGTTCCCCAATGCCATAGGCGCATCAGGCCCTCCCCTTGGTAGCCCTGGATGCTTTCTAAGTGTGCAGGCTCCTCCCACCTGGGTTACCCACCCATCCACGTCCACCCTTCGGCTCTTATGGGTGACACTGCTGTGAAGTTAGGCACACAGTGCTCCTCGAGCCCCTGCTTCCAGTTCTCGTGAGTATCTACCCAGAAGGGGAGTTGCTGTGATGTATGAAAGTTCTAGTTTTAATTTTCTGAGGAGCCACCGTTCTTTTTCCACAGTGGCTGTGCATTTTCACCAGCAGCGCACAGAATTTGAAGTTCTTTACCTCCTTGCCCATACTTGTTTTTTTTAATAGTACCCATTCTACTAGGTGTGAGGTGGTCCAATTTTAGTTTTTCTAATCACAGAAGTAATATCTGCTCACAGCAAAAACACTGGAAAGAAGCAGAAAGGTGAAAAATGAAACAAAACCCATATACTTACCTCTTTTCCTCCTGTCTTTCAGAAGTAACCACAGTCACACTTCATGTGTCCACAAATTCCACACAAATGCACATTATATATCTTTTTAATTACACAAATCCATTTATTCCATATACGCCATTTCCTACTTTATAAATTCACTTATTTACAGATCTTAGAAATCTTTTCATGTGAGCCCCTATTGATCAACCTCATTCTTTTTCACAACCACATAAATCCATTGTATGAGCAATAATTTAAACAGCTTTCTGTGAGTAGGTGGTTGATTTCAGGAA